AAAATGTGTGGTGAAAACAAACACAGACAGTCAACTGATAGCGTTTACGTATGCTTTTTGCCGCGCCGCCCGAAGAGTGGCAATTGCCGAGTGGCCAAAGCATTAGGCTGCCGGTCGAGAGGGTCCGGGTTCGAGTACTCCTCGGGTGTAGAGGATTTTTTTTTTTTAGTATTTTTTTTTTTTTATTTTTTGTTTTTAATAATCTTTAGATTTTAATGTTAAAAAAAAAAATTTTTTTTCAATGGATTTGTATGTATATTAAAGCATTTTGGTTCATTTCCTAACGAAATTCTTATTGAACAAATTTGCTCGCTTCATATTCGCTTTTTTTTAATAAAATGGAAAGCAATTAACTTTTTCTCCATATTTTTTATTTTTGAGACCTGCTCTTAGCCAGCTGACAAATTAGTGACTTTTTTTTTAAGACTAGAGACGTGAGACGGCGTACTGAATACCAAATAGTCTCAAAATCCAAGACCGCTTACTGATGCCAGGGTTAATCTATTCATGTCCATGCGAAAATCGTATTCCTAAACTGCTGCTTAGCTCGTTTCTTTTTTTCTTTCAGTTTTTAGTACCAAAATTGTCATCATGACTTATGTCTTCTGCTAGTAAAGCACAAAATGAACACCTCCGGCGACACATTATGCAGTCAGTTGCAACGTGCCGCCGAAGTTATTTCCAAGCGCCGAACTACTCCGAGCGACTGTTCTGCATTCTACGTAACTTACTTTGGGGTTTTTGAATTGGTAGCTGAGATAGGGCGGTCTTCACTCAAATTCTGAGATAGGGCGTTTTCGAACTGGCTGCCGAGATAGGTCGATGTGATCATGATGCAAAAACTTAGAGGTAAAACCGTTGAGAGACAGCCTGGACATTTTTAAAGTTCGCTGACTAACAAAAATGTGTTAAAATTTTTAATCTCAAATATAAGCAAAATGGAAAACTTTTATCTATTTATTTTTTGTTTTACTTTTATTTGTCATCTGAGTTGCTTTGAAAGCTTAAATATTATAAAGTAGCCAATCTTTAAAAAAGAAATGATGGCCGACGAATTGAGCGCAGCGAAAGCTTGAGCAAAGCACTCATGTGCCTTTCGAGAGGTCCGGGCTAGAATCCTCGGGTAGGGAACTTTTTTTACTATAAATTTTTATTTTTTTAATTTAATTTTCTTTTAATTATTAGATTTTATTGCCTTAAAACGAAAAATATATATATTTTTTTGTATTTATTTTTTAGAAATTTATTTTATTTAATCTTTTAATGCTTTTAAGATCTTATTGCTTTAAAA